GGTCATGCTGGCAGTAATGAGCTATTGGATGATGGGGGTGGGGAAGAACATTCTTCTTTGCTTTTCCTCTTTTGACTTGCAGAGGGCCTGCGTGAATGCCCTCAGTTTGGAGGGAACTTCCATGGGGAGACAGCCAGAGGGCCCAGGTTGGGAGAAGGTACAGCTCACAAGCCCTGCCTGGGACAGAATTCGTGGACCAGACAAGGACAGGGAATCTCCAGAGGCAGAGGGTCCTGGAGGTTGTGCTGGGAGAATATTCTGTGTTACGCCCAGCCTAGTAAGGATGGTGATAGTGAGAAGAGTATTTAGTGTCTACATATTGCTTTATGGGTCTTGGTGCATTCATATCTGTCACTGCATTTGATCTGAAGGATTTCCTAGCAAGGCCATTTGGATGGTGGAGGAAAAGAGTGGCTGGGACTAGTTCACAGGTTGCTCGTGAATCTTGTAGTATCGCTGGCCTGAGGGTGGTGAGCCCAGGGGAGGAAGAACAGGACACTCAGGGCACACAGGCAGTGACCAGAAGTCCCCAGAGTGTCTGAGGCTCCGCCCTCCATGCCGCACATGAATCCCTGCCCTGTTGCTAACCCCCACAGCTTCCTTCCTTTTGCCCTGTTTCCCCCACCCGGCGGGCGAGCACCACTGTAGCATTTCACCGCAGCCCTGCCCCAAAGGCATAGCAACTGGGGCAAACTTCTGCTTTTGGCTTTCTTTTGGGGAACCATGCTTCCCTTTTGACACAGGCGCCAGGTCCTGAGGACCCCTGAGGAGACCCCTTCCCTGCTGTTTACCTTCTGGGGAGGCCAGCCCCCAGGCTGAGGAGATGCTCAGATCTGTTCCTGGACTTCTGACTCAATCCATGCCCAGTGCTGGAAATCCACCGCTCCCATCCCCCAGGCACACATTCAGAGGCACTGTTGTCTTCAAAGGCAAGGTCTAGGGCAAGAGAAGAAAGTTTCCACACTAGGTCCAGAAATCTTTCTCTCTCAGCGTCATTCTACAGACATGGACCAAGGAAGGTGCTGGAGACGGCAAGACATCCCTGCCCCAAGAACCCCCAAGAACTGTTGAGCATACAGGGGCTGGGGTCTGTGTGTCATGCTGGGAGAGGACACAGGCAGGGGGCCTTGCCTGGTGGGATAAGTCAGGTCAACACCTGAAGGAACAGGTACGTGAGTTGGGTTGTAAGGAGCCAGGGGCATCCAGATTGACAGAGGGTACAGATTGTCTGTCCATGGTGCAGAGAGGGAGCTGAAGGAGTCCCATGGGGCAGGGGGACAATTGGGAGCTGGTTGTGGGAGAAGCTGGCCAGGTGAGCAGGACCTCATGGCGAAGGGACTCATGGCAGCCACAGAAGAGGAGGTTTGACTTTGTCCTGGAGCAGTCTGGAGGGGGTTGGGAGTTGAGGTCTGCAGGGGCTGTTCTTCAAGGACAGGCCAACCAGAGTTGAGGCTTCGGTCATAGCTCACTGCTCACCATCCCCAGAAGGATATTGGTATGCATGGGTAGCTTCCTGGGTCCTGCATGTGCCCAGCCAGGCATCTCCCCACTCCCCACAGAAAAGCCCCCCAACCCCACTCCACCACAGGCTGCCAGTGTTGCTCCCTTTCCATTAGGACCCTTCTCCTACCCAAGCTCTAGGTCAAATTCCACTGGGCGCAAGTACTGTTGCTGCTTCCAGAAGGTTCCATGGCCCCTCCCTGAGGGCAGGGTCTGTACCTCCTGTCCTCTCATTGTCCCCCACCCCTGTCATTGCTGCCTGGCAAAGTCGCCTCTCTGGGCCCCACCCTCAGTGGCCAGAGCTGGGGAGCTGCTGGAGGGGAAGGCCGGAAGTGGCGGAGGGGGGAGGTACATGGCCAGTGTTGTGTTCCTGCTCTGCTTAGAGAAATAGCTCCTGCCAAGCCTCTCAGAATTTCTTCTCTCTTCCTGATGGTGCCTGTGTGGGTGGATTTCACTGAGAAGGAGAGGGATTTCTCTGGCACTTTCCCTCTCTGCTCCTCTCCCTTAACCCTTTGGAGTTCCTGACCAGCTCTTGTTTGTCTGGCTGGCACCAGTGCTCATCCTTTCTGGGGATCTCCTGGCCTCTCCGGCACCTTCTCCTGGGACTGGTACATGTACAGGGTGGGGGCGGGGGGGGAAGGTTGGCAGCCCTCACCTATTGTGGCTGGAGGAACACCCATCAGAGCCCCTGGCCACTGCTTTGCCTTCCTGAAATGCCCCCATGGGTGAGTTACTTCCTTGGGTCTTACAGGCATTTTGGCTTCCAGAAGACTGTGGGAATGCACTTCAGGCCTGCACAACAGGACACTTTTCAGAGCCTGCAGTCTGAAGGTCATTGACCTTCTTCTGCCTCTATAACCACTTGCCCTTGGGGCCTCAGCCCCTGACCTGGAGGAGGGGTTAGTAGTCCTTCCCAGGTGGAAGTTTTGCGGACCATCTCTAGACAGGAAGGATTGTCATTTTAAGTTTCCTTTTATCCCAGCATCCTTGGTTCTGAGGTCCTGTGTGGGAAAGTAGAAGAGGGTGGGTCCCAACATACAAAAGGGGGCTCAGTCCCTAATACAGATGGAGGAGGATACTGAGAGTTGCCAGTAGGGACATCTGGCTGGAACCCAGCTTTCCTTCAGTTCAGATACAGTGCTCAGGTGTGTGTGGTGGGGGCTGGGGGAGGCAGAGGTCCCAAAGCATCCCTAGCCTGGTCCCTGCCCTGTTGCTGCTCAGCTCGAAGAACCATGATTCGTGTTGAATTACTGCCGAGCCTGAGTGTCGTCCCCAGGGCACGGGTTTACAAGAGGGGGTGGGATCACAGGCCACAGAAAAAGAGGGTCCTAAATCCACACGGGGGAGATTTCAGGCGATACAGATTGTACAGAGTCACCTACTCCTAAAGCACACTTTCCCATTCTCCTCCCCCTATCCCGCCCCCTGCCACCACCCTCCCACCCAGTAGCCAGCCACCTGGCAACTCTGAGCTACTGAACTCCTAAGTGCTGGACACCAAGCACAGAGGCCCTATGTTATGGGAGAGGTTTCTTAGGGAGCTCATGAGAGTTCCATGGTCAGAAGGAGTCAGGATAGGGTCTGGGTTGGACACAGGGTGATGGGAAGGAAGTATAGCAGCGGAGGAGTCCTTATCAGAGGGACTCGGGGGACCTGCAGAGGACACCAAGGAGCCACAGCCCAAGCTCCCCTCCTGTGAGTCAAGCAGCAGAACCACCCACCTGATCTAGACAGTTCCAGATATTACCTGAAGCTCTTTCTGTGAGTGGACAATTCCAAGCACACAAGGAGCTGTTCCACAAAACACATAAACATGTCCTCAAAAATGCCAGTGTTTGAAAGACAGACGAGAGCTGAGGGGCTCTTCTGGCTGAGAGGAGACAAAAGAGACGTACTCCCTGAATGCAGGGCATGGTCCTGGATTGGGTTCTGGGATGAGAAAATTTCTAGTGAGACCAGCAGTGGGCAGGTGGTAAGATCTGACTGTGAGCTGGTATGAGAGGTTTCAGTTTTACATTTCCTGAAATACTGGCATTCCTCTTGTGGTTGTTTAAAAAAAAATATATATATATATTTTTTTATATAAGAATATATATATATATATATATATATATAT